ATTTTAATAGATCACTTTTTATGTACAATTGTTTAATTACTTTTAACAAGAAAACTTAATATTGTTGTAGAGGTGGCGGATTAATACTTTTTCAGGTAACTAGATTTTTCATACGTAGTACATGGTTTAACTGTTTTTCTTTCCATAAGTATTTTGCTTTAACCCTTTCCCTCATGAGCATATTGTACAATATGGTCGTTTTCTTTGAAAAACCTCTTGTTACAAGTTCAAACTGCTATGAAACTATGGAAAATGCTTAACTACTTATCAAACTTGGCGTAAATGTTAACTGGTCAATGCCTTTGTAACGACATGCTCAGTCTGAAATTTCCTGTTACCATTGCAACAAGGGCACATCTCAAAATTGCCAAAAATCACTATTTTGCCTTCATTTTTCCATCAAAATTGATTTCAAAGTGCTGCAACTTCTCAATAGATTGAGAGAGAGTCAAAGGCTTTTCAGCGTGAGTTACAAGTTACCTTATAATCGACCTGGGGTCATTTTAAGCCTCTCACAAGTCCAAATTTTTCTTTGCGATGAGGGGGACTGCCGCCCCCTCAAACCCCCCAAATAGAAGGGGGCATATTCCCTTTCTCGCAACCCCCTGATGTACGTTTTGAATGGGGGACGTCGCCAAAAAAGTGCTCACTTTTTCATCAACATTTCTCAAACGAAAACATGTGTTTGGGGCCAGAACAGGACACATTTTTTCACTATTTGATGTCACATGTGTTGTAAGACCCAAACTGTAAGTTTGTACTAGTTTACATAGATAATATCTTAGTAATTTCAAAAGACATTGGGGCCAGAACAGGACACATGTTTTCACTATTTGATGTCACATGTGTTGAAAGGACCAAACTGGAAGTTTGTACTAGTTTAGATAATATCTTAGTAATTTCAAAAGTCATTGAAACTCACCTTTTATATTTCATTGATGTATCAAAATACTCAAGATAAGCACATTTGAATCTCAAACCATCTAAATAAACTTTTGGCAACTTTTTAGGTCACATTTTATCTGAAAAAGGAATTCAGATGGATCCGTCAAATGTAGAAAAAGTAAAGAAACAAAAATCCTACTCCAACATGTAAGAAACAATTACGTGGTTTCGTTGGCCAATTGAATTATTATAGACATTCTGTTAAAGATTTTGGCAAAATATGCTTACCTATAAATACATAACCCATCAAAGAAGTTAATGAAAAATTTCGTTAAATAGATTGGACTCCAAAGTGTCCAAGGGCTTTAGAAACGCTTAAAAGTGCATTAATAGTAAACCCAATTATAAGATTTCCAGATAAGAATAGAGAATTTATACTATCCACAGATTCCAGTGGTTCAGCAATTTCCTACATACTAGGGGAGATGTTGGCAAAAAAGAATATCTTGTTAGTTATTGGGGTAGAGAATAACATGCAGATGAAAAATTGGACATGTCCTCTTGAGATACTTTTTAAATTTGTCTTCTGACGTATTATCTGTGATATGCAGGCTTTATAACCTCTGATCCCCTTTCAAAATTCCATTTTATTTAGTTCCGTCCATTGTTTTCTCGTTTAGGGCACACGCATTTTTTTCTTGGGGACCATATGCCGCTTTTCATGGAATGGCACTTTGAAGTGTCATATTGAAGGTTCCACGATAACCGCCGTATGAACACATCTGCGGATGTTTCAAAATAATACAAATACAAATACAAATACAAGACATTTATATAGCGCAAAAATGTATTAAATATTCGATTGCGCTGTACATTGTTAAGACTATATACACATATGCTTGATCAAGACACTCCCAAACCCAGTATCGATGGCACAGCCAATCTACAACTCTAGTTGAAAAACAGTCCAAACAAGTATGTTTTAAGTTTAGCCTTAAACTGATTTTCATTGGTAATGTCCTTCAGATAGTCTGGCAATGAATTCCACCATTTAGGTCCCACAATGGCCAAGGATCTATCAGCAAGTTTTGAATTTGTTGATGGTATATCAAACCGAATGTGGCTAGATGATGAGGATCTCAGTCTTTTCCTGTACTGACTCTGGCATTTAGTGAACAATTTACGAAGATACAATGGAGCGGTGCCATTTGCAACACGAAACACAGTCACAATAACTTTGTACATGATTCTTGCTCGAATTGGAATTGAAATTCAAAATTGTTCCAGTTCATTTTGTTGAATTCTGCTTAAGCCGGTGCTAAAGGGCAAATAACAAATTAAATTGCAAACAACCGTCCATGAACAGGCTCAATCAAACCGAGTCAGCATTATTTTCAATTGTGTTGTGTTGGACTTTCTTAAGGGATTCTTGCTTTCTCTATTTTTAGCAATTTAAGAAGGGATAAAAACAAATAAAATTATATGATCATAACTTTTCGCATGCCCTCAAAAAAACTTTACACAGATAACCATGCCTTAAAAGTAAATTTAGTAGATGGATAATAGAATTACAGGAATTTGATTATGAAATCATTCATAAGCCAGGCCACAAAAATGCTAATGCAGATGCCATATCCAGAATAGATTATGACCAAATCAAAGAAAGCATACACTGTACTAATGAACAAAAATATAAGCACATTAAACATGTGAAGTCTTCTAAAGATATTGAAGTAGTTTATGACACATTTACTATTCAAAATGATCTATGCAAGAGAGACATGTCACAAATCGGCCACCAAAGAATTTTCTTATCTTGAAAAAGGCTAGATATTTTTATTTGTACAAAAACAATGTATTAGTACAGTTTTCACTATACATGTATAAATAATGGAACTATCAATAAATTTCTCGTCACATTTTAGTAAAACATGATTATAATAATATATTATTATTGTAATTTTTGTCAAGAGAAATCTGTGTTGTTGTTTTCAATCCGTGTTTGGTAAGATTTAATTTACCTGTTGTTTTAAAACTATCTAACCTTATCTGTCACGGTTTAGAGGTGTTCGTTTTTAAGCACATAACATGTGTAAGCGGTCAAACAGTTCAGTCGGTAGAGCCGCGGTACAGTATTCTGAAAGTCCCTGTCAGGCTGCAAATTTTTCTTAACCTGTGTCTGACATAAAGCCCAGAGAACAATCAACATTGCTCTGTAATCCTGAGAAATTTGAGGACAAAGTTGATTTATCAATTGATCCCTTAGATTTACAACTAAAAATAAATTCGGAACAAAAAATTCCTTCCGATTTCTTTTATGTAAAGTCATATATTGGTTTCCTCTCCGGTGTTTTGCAGCATGTCATATTAATGAATGAGAACGGGAACAAATTTCACGCAGCTGGGAAGGCAGTATAAAAGACAAAGGCAGTATATTTAGTAATCTATTACTGTCATTTGTATTTTTCACAGGAAATAACTTATTACTTTGTAGTACTCAATGGATTATAATATACTAAAATTTTTCTGTACATGAATTCGAAAGCCATAAATAGATGACCTTAACATTGTGTAGTTTACTGTATAGAAGAAATAGTAGGTTTGCGAATCAAAAGGTTATTCGTGTTGCGCTGTGGTAATTAGTAACGAACTGGGGAATTTTGCAGGAAAAATGCAACAATGAATTGCACTCAATAAAAATTTAAGTAAGCGAGTTATACGAATTGTTATATCATAGCACATTGAACAAGTATTAGCATTTCCAAAATGTTTGGAATCGCCGTTCAGTCATGAATATAGAAATGGTATTCCTGTCTTGCCTAATACTTTATTGTATGTGGTCAACACATAAAGCCAACAAAAATACTTGATTTACTCTACCATTCCGGTCTTGTAAAAATACTTTGACGCGCTTTTGGTTAGAATGTAGGAGATATTGCCCATTAGAAAAAAATCACAATAACTTGACTCGTAGTACAATAAGTTAGCCTTCATGCGCTGCTTAATGAGTAAGTGCATTCTTGCGTAATTAAAAACAGTTACTTGCTACACACTAAAATTAATGTTTTAGAACATGCCATAAATGGAATTTACGTTATATACTCCGCCGACTGCTTATTGAAGTTCTTTTCTGAAACAGACTATAACTCACATACTATATGCGATAATGATGCAATTACAACACCTCGCCCGGAAGAAAGCATTTATAAAGTTTTTTCTTACAGTGCAAGTTTTGGAAAGTAAACAAAATATACTCTTTTTAAGACTACATCCTTTAATCAGAAATGACATGTAGCAAAAACTATGGCAATTTGTTGTGTTTATCCTGCAAGAGACTAAAGACTGGTACTGAGTTCATACATTAATAGTGATATTTTTCTGTTGAACGAATAAGTAACCCGACAAATCATGGCGGTTGGGCGAGTCAAGCATCCCTCATTGAAGTTTTTGACGTCCATTTTATTATCATGTGATAATATGAACACAGTTTAAGCAGTAGCAAAATAGTAACAAGGCAAAACACCATTTCTTTATCATATTTTGCATTTACTGGGAGTTGTTAAATCAGCAACGGTGTTATTTTAGCCTGTATATGTGCAGGTATTTTTTGCAAGGGGGACGAAATGTATTGATTTTGGTCTCGGAAAATAATAGATTTTGGGTTTCAGTGGTATAAACTTTTTTGACTGTCTCACTATTGCAGATGGGATCATTTCATTGTAAATTTGCATTCTTATGTCATATAATTATGTGCTCTTAAAATGTCCTTTCTTTTTCCAGGTTGTGTAGTTTGGGATCAGAATTATCAGACGTATTGCTTGTAGCACATTGATGGCAGGAACTTGAAGTATACAGTGGAGTGCTACCTCACTCATGAGATATCTGCAAATCTTGACACTCACGTTTTTATCAAAAACTAGTATCAAGTCATTATAGTAGATATAATGGTTGTACAAAAGGCTAGAACAGGAAATTGCTCAAAGAGACCTTTGCTTAGTTATTGTAGTTTGTAGACAATTTCGCTAATGTGCAGGTTTCAAACAAAATGTAATCACTAATTGCACATTGATATCATCTTTATAATATATCATATGAATTAGTTGCTGTAATAGATGTGGCATATAAGAATTATTTTGCCTAAAAACACACACACGCAATTTTAATATATTGTGACAATTGTTCGAGGAAAATGTTTCGGAATTTGTTTAAATATATTCTTTGTTTTGTAATTTTGATATATGCAGTGTATCTACATGGTATTTATTTATAAATTATTCGTTTTCAAAGATATACGTTAACTGCAATTTATATATAAAATACAATAAACAAATTGCGGGTTAGATCAATTTTCTCGCATGTCTTTAAAACAAACTAATATTTATTCTTTATATTCATGACATTTTTGTAATATCGGTACAAATTGATAGCTAAGTAAATTCAATTATAAATTTCTTATTTTACTAAAACAATAACATGTAATTATCTCTCGTAGTATTTTATTCAACTAATATTTTATTACAGATTGCAAAGACGGATGGAAATCCTTTGCAGACTCCTGCTATCACTTGTCCCTTGACAAGAGAGATTGGTCTTCCTCAAAGGTAAAATATATTTATCAAATACTACTAGTACGTAATTTCTTGCTACAATATATATCAAACATTTTTGCAACATTTGTTTAGTATTAATTTCTGATAGTTTTTTTTTATAATTTTGTTAATTAACTGTACTGTAATTGATTCGACGTAAATTGTGAACAATTAAAATATATATAGCTTTGTCATTTCTACATAAAATCCGGCACACACGGATAATAGTTGGCTAAATATGAACATTGTTCACGTTTTATCAGTGTAACTATAAATCTGTATTATATAGATGTACTGCGAATCTGAAGGGTCTGTTTTAGTTCAAGCTGACACTACAGAGGAAATAGATTTCCTAATGACAATGTTATCGGGTAAATATGATTATTTCAAATTTCTTCTAACGCTCCTATTTCACTTAAATATTTAAATTTGTGTTGGTAAAGACTCAACAGTTATTTAATCAGCTCAAGCCGTAGGTAGAACCATTGTTTCAAGCTAAATGTAAACATCACAGATTTGCAAGATATTCAATAATTGATCAAAATAAACATAACAATGATTTTATCGAATTTATTAACATTTGAATAACAAACGAATGAAATGAAAGGTTTTTATTTAAAGTCAGTGTACGTTCGTACGTGTGTATGTAATTCTCTTATATAAAAACTAAACTGATTGTTATATAAGTATTTAAAGTAGCATGATATAACAATCAAAACAGATCAATTAATGTTGGGGTCGTTCGATAACGCCAACATTTGGATTGGTACATGGAACAATACGACAATTGGCAACTTCACGTGGGTTGACGGTTCAACAGTGAAAGAAAGGAGACATGCCAGTGAAAACATAGACGGATGCCCTTCGTTGATAAACGGCAATGAGAAAGACCAATGGTTGGCAGAAACAGCTGAGTGTAGTCGACAATTCTTTCACATTTGTGAGACAAGTAAGCTACTTTTTAAAAAAATCAGTTAATTTTCAAATTGTATTTTTTTATGGTAACATGAATATCATGGAGGTTCTTTAATATGAAAATACCTTGTACCATGTCAAAACACTCTCGGTTTATGCGGACATTTTCCGTTATGATTGATTTAGGACTGGAGTCTTTGCTCAACTGTGATTAAGAAATAATGTGGGAATGGTAATATCTGGTTTGCTATCCATGGCAAGAAATAATTGACCTTAAGTAAGATCGACGATATATCAGGCCAACGAACACACAGAGAAAGACAAAGAATGGCAATACTCAATATTGTACCTAGTTACATAAACGCTAAGTTTGTGCTAGAACATACCAGTTCTGTAGTATAAATAATTAAATATACTAAAAACTTGATGTTTATTATTAACCAATAAGATAACAGAAGGTCCATGGGAAGGACGAAGGCCAGTTTTTTAAGAACGTAACAGGGCTTACGTTAGTAAGTTTCTGTCTACATGATAAATAAGTACTATAAAATTAATAGTAATTACATACACGCATATATCAAACAGTATTCATGAAAATAAAGAATGATTTATATGTAATAATTATATATCTATCATGTCCTAAGTCGGATATACAATTTGGTATACAATGAGCGCGCTATCGTATCTATACTCAAAATCAGAACAGAACAGAACAAAATTTTAACAACATCAAATTAAATACATACAATGTAATGCATGTTATATTCGGTGTACCTGAGACCTTTTCCAATCTACATGTGTCATATTACACTTAATTTAGCAGATAAAACGCAATTAAGACCATTTTTATGAGGTAACGCCGAATTCGTGAATGAAACACTGAATCAACTGCGGTTATCTCATTAAAAATAGCAAACGAAATCTTTTTTAACAAGCTTCATTCTATTGTTATACGACACTTGCAACTTGACAAATGTCTTAGGTAGACAAACTATGAAAAAAATAATGTTTTAAATTTGTTATATGAATATATTTATTTGACGAAACACAAAAGTCACCTTCAAAACGGTAATCAGGTTGTCTTTCTCACGAATGATCAAAAGAAGTTAACATACTTCTGAAAAATTAATTTATGCTGGTTAAAGTATAATGTCGTAGCAGCCGTATGCGCTAACTCATTTCTTTGAATTAGAATAAAATATTTTCGTTCGTTTACTTACTGTGTTATTCGTTTTGTCAATACTGTTGCACAGATTCGGCGTTACTTTTACGTTATTTTCACATTTCTGCGTAATTTGTTATGCACGATGTGATAAGCAAACAGCGTTTAAATATTCCGCAGAGAATAAATAAATCATGTTCTTTCAATTCTTTGCAGATAAAACTGTTAGTCGTTCCGGTTTAGTAAAACCATTAACCAAAAATGATAGCTCAACACAATCGCGTAAGTGTTATGTTTAGAACATTGACATTCCATATAGTACTTATATAATAAATGTCATTTTTCTTCCAGATAATAATCAAGTGAACGTCTTAATGTGTTGTTGCCTTTGCGAGCTTTTCTATTTATCATTAAATAGTTAGAAGAAAAGTATATTGACAAACACGTGTTAAAGTGAAATTATTCGACATTGTACGATATTTAATGGTAATTGACCAGTAATTGAAAGTGAAAAATGTTTAGGATATGATATAAAAATACTAATATTATTAACAAGACTGCTCCGTTGAGCAAAATATTAAGTTGAAAACAATTATGGCAAAATGCTAAGTTAATTTTACTTTTTACATGTGCACTCATCATTTACATTCGGAAAGGCAGAATGTTACTATCATCATTATTATATAGATACTGAACCTGTATTATGAAATTTTATAGTGATTTGATGTGCTGTTGAATTTCTATTTGCCTGTTTGGATTCAAATTTATTTATATTCAAATTCACCACATTATTTATCATGAAAAATATTCATTTTTTTCAGATCAGTATCTTACATGTTTATCTAAGTATTTAGATAGAAGTAATTCAAAATAGTTTGTGACAAAAAATGTCATTTAAGCTCCACTTGTCGAAGGAAGATAGTAGAGCTCTGTCATAACCCTCTCGGTGGCATTAAATCCAAAAAAATAATGACTTCAAACTTGATTTCCATATTTATCGCCAAAAAGGACGCAATTTCACAAAGACAGATAATCGTAAAATTATTTATTTCAAAGTTATGCCCCTTTTACACATTTGCTACCTTTATTGTTAAATCTATCCAGGTACGAGTAATTTACTTCAAACTTGATTTCCGTGTTCATTATCAAAATATGACACCATTGCAGAAGGGGAGACAATCTTAAAATTCATTTAAGCAAACTATGTTCTTTTTTGGACTGAATTCTTTTCTTCTTAGGTCAATATAGTTCTGCTTTTTCTCTCATAAATCATAGATGAAATAACATGTCAAATTACTATACATGTAATACTTAATATGTTAATATAAGCAATTCTTTCAGACTGCAACGAGGGCTGGTTCGCATTCAAGGATTCAAGGTATTTACTGTCACGGGTACCAAGGACCTGGTATTCGTCAAAGGTAATATCAAAAAGGGGAAAGATGTATGTACGGATGAAATCTAGATTTTCTTAAGATAAATAATGTATTTTTAATTCCCAGCAAGGAGAGGGGTCATAAGAGTTGCCCATCCAGTCTGTCTGTCTAGTTGTCCTTCTTTTATAAATCTGTCCATACGTAATATTTTCGTTTTTTTTCACAATAAAATTTAAACTGCTGAAAAATTAAACAGTGCCACACCTTGTACAAAAAGCCACCTTTTTCGTAGGTCTACGATAAATTACTTCGTCACTACTTCAGGGCTAAGACATGCCTCTAAATTTGGAAGAGGTTCAGCAAAAGCTATGTTCTTGGTCATTTTTGAATGTCAAATATAAAAATTCACATGTTGTGTCTAAGGTCAAGAAATTATAAAAAGGTCGTTGAAAGATAAAATATCAACTGCGACAGGGGTTATAGTCGTCTTTACAGATATATCTTTCTAATACTTCGTTATTTGACTTTTTGATATGCATACTTCGCATGTAATTATTATTTTCTCCGATTTCTTTATTTTTCCAATTCATCACCAACTCTTATATTTCCCAAAAGGGTTAATGCACGTGATTGTGAATTGATATCTGCAGAAACACGAGGCCATATTTTAATACGTCAGAGGACGTCTGTGGAGATGTTTGTGTGCAGAAGGGGCATTTTATTGTTATCATTGCATTACAATATACGTATACATATAAAAGATTCCGCATTTTGGCACGCTTTTCATGTGTGCATTGTAATATGACAGATATATTTTTATAATAAAACTAGGACAGTTATGTTTTATAATAAAACAACCGGGGGAGATGGGAGTGGCATCTTTGCATTCAGCTATTTTCGTAATGGTTACTTGCGTAGTCAGTTTTTATGCAAGCATGTTTTGAAATATATAACTTGAACGGAAGCACAATACCACAATTTTAATTAACATACTTCCGAAACAAGTAAAACGATTAATAGACTTATTCATTTTGTTGTTGTGGTTTAACTATTATGATCTCATTTGGGGCACTATATTAAAAAAATCTCGTAATTTTTATAACAGATACATTGCGAAACCATTGGAACACGTCTGGTGACAATAGGAACGTATCGGGAAAAAATTTCAAAGGAATACGTGATTTTCACAAAAATAAAACTTAATTAAATTTTTAATAATTTTTATAAAATTTTTCTTTCATATATTGGAAAAGATTTTTATACAAAAAAAATCAACTTTTATGAAAAAGAAAATCGGTAAAAATAATAAAAATTTTTTGAACCCTTTTTATTTATATTTTTCTGAAAGGGAAAATTTTTTCTTTCGATATACACTTGAATGACTATCAAACAAACACATGGGTATCTTTAGCGGAAAGATTAAGACACAATTGTGTTCATAAAAAAGAACGATTACGTTCTGCTGGCTCCGTGTCAAAAAATAAAAACTCAGAATCAGGATGAAATTATATTGTTTTATTTTTAATTGCTGCATAAAACACACCTTCAGTTTGATTACATTTTGCTTAAATAGTATTGTACCTTTACAACATGTAGAAAGATATATATTTTGGATATAATTTATGAATAGCATTATGAATAGAAATTATACAAGTTACATGAAAAACTTGTTCAAAATAAGGATCAAATTCAGGATAAAGGCCAACAAACACAGTAAACACTGAAGACATATTGTAACATCTGTCTCTGGTCTTGATCCCGATCCTTGAGTCATTAAAACTAGGTGTCTGATGATTTAAAGTTGGAAAGAAAAAAATAATTAGCAGTTGTGTAGCCAATTCTCAGTTATTAGCTTTATAGATAAGTTATTTTAAGTATTAAAAAGGCTTAAATTGTGAATTTATAACTATTTCAATTAAAACCATTAGTCTCTAAATATTTGTTTGTTTGTTGGATTGCAAGTCACAGCGGCACTACAAAGCTCATATGGTGATTTTCCGGCTTTATTTCCTCTTGGAAGAAGATCCAAGGTTCGCCATGCAGGGAACTTGGGTGTTATAGACAGAGAAAAACATGGTTTATTATATAATTTCATCATACTGAATAGAATTTCCTTATAACATGCCTTACATGCTCGAGTTGTTAAGTCACAAATGTGTTTTGACATTATATTTATACCCTTGTTATACAGGAAAATATGCCTTTGTTTTTTCAAGGTTAACGCATTTGACAAAATGTATGAAATAACACGAACAATGATGTGCTCTTGCTGATTGTGTTAAGTAGTACTAACACTCGCCCAGTGGGCTTAAATAAATACAAATTTACACAATCAACCTGAGTGCTACAAACCATCAGATAAGAATGGCACATTTGTCAAATTTCCCCAACATATCTCCTTTTCAGACGTTTGTGAGAAGAATTTTTGGATAGGATCACCGAATGTTTATAATCCGGAAACCCGATCAGTAATGTCATCAAGTGCATTTGATCCTGATATCCCGGCTAACGAGTCCCAGTGTATCATCTTGAACAAAGGATGGGCAATCACTGATTGCAAAGATAAATATCCATCGATCTGTGAAAAAAGTATGTATCGTAAATGAAAATAATTATAGTCTTCGTTTTTGCAAGTCTATCATTCTTTCTAGTTACAAACAATGACTTACTTATACAGAATCAATATTTTCTTTTTGTCGGGAAGAAGAATAACTTTTTGCAGTGAATGAGATCAATATAATAATTTGTGATTAGTAATTAAGTATTTTGCTCGTAATACAGTTATGATTGTAAGGCTAATTTTTAAAAGTAACATTTTTCATTGAATGAAAAAGTTATGGGAAACTTTAAATATGATGTAACTCCGTGTAATGAAAATGTTTTCCAGATGAAACCCAAAAGTATCTTGGGGGCGAGGAACTTCTCAACTTTTCACTACCTATAGGTAAAACTTTTACTTTTCCTCTTTAATTGTTAATTTCGTTGAACGCCGAATTTCACCCGCTTTTGGTCATATCTCGACAACTGGTCCACCAAATGTCATTCCTGAGTAGCTCAGTAAGCGACTTCTTATCCTAAATGATTTCTGAATCATCGATGAGAGACAACTGACCATTGGACTCAATGTCCGAGATCATTTCTGTTTGCGAAATTACGCCTCGGTTGAGGATCGAACAAGCACTCTATGGATTTCAAATCCGAAGCTATGCCTTATGAGCTACGAAGTACCTTAAGGTACACTTATCAAAAGATTAAAGAAAGACGAAATAAGATTTTTTTTTCTAAAGAAGTACAGTTTAACATGCAAATAATTTGTTCGGGATGTGGCTTTCTTCTCAAACATTTGGTCAGAATGAAATGAAAAAAAAATAGAAAGAGATAAGTTGGCAATTATTAAACTTAATAACACACGAAAATAGGTAAAGGTAAAAAAAGTAAATACATTACCATATTATATATCATGTTTTCATCAAATTTCAATGCAGAGAAAAAGAAAAATAAGAAATGATTGGGAAAAACCGAAAGTAAATAACATTCAATGCAGAGAAAAAGAAAAATAAGAAATGATTGGGAAAAACCGAAAGTAAATAACATTTAAGGTATTTAGGAAATGCAGCATTTAGTTATGTAAACACCATATTGGAAAAAGATTTTAGATACATATATATCTAGGTACGGTACGAAAGTCTGGGCTTAAGACGATAATATAAAGGTTTATTAAGGTAGTGAATATCTAGCCAACATACAATTCACTTCTCAGTTTTGAAATATTGGCATCGAAATTTGCTCAAGAGCGAGCGATATTTTAATACCTTTGACCATTACACTTACATAGTAGGCTATGACTAACACAATGCTTTTGAATGAAATGTTCAAATTGTCGATGATTTTGGAATTTACTTTCAGATCAAGTGTCGAGAAATTGCGAGTATCTACAAAAGGATAAGAAAAAGGAGTATGTGAAATCAAATGTGTCATTTGAAGACCTATACGATAAGGTCAGGCTTCTCTTACACAACAAACTAATCTGTTCATTGTGACTACTTTATTTGTGGCAGTTAAAATAGAAAACAATAAAAAACTATTTTTCAAAAAGTTATATTTGTCAATATACAATATCCTCTGTTACTCTGTAAAAATACAGTTTGAAATATTGAACTTTGAATTGCCGATACATTAATTTTTGTTTCTGAATCATTTGATTTTTAGATCATTTAAGAGGTTCATAACAAAGTCATTTCTCATGGATTAAAAAGCATTCCATGTAAAATTGAAGATATGACGTTTTAAATAAATACATAAATATAAGTTTAAGTTACTAGACAATAACCTAGCTTTATTAATACATTTTCAGGTGTTTAACTCGTCAGATTATGACCCAGTGAATGTTTTAAAGCAACTAAAGAATGCAACATATGCATATAAAGCAAACAATGAAACGTTACCATCCGACAGACTAACTAATGTCGTGAAAATGATGTCAAAACTTGCTGAAAGTATGGATTTAAACAACTCAAAGGCATTAACAGAAGACAGTCTGAAGGTAAATATATACCAGCTGCGAAGATATATTGTACAAAACAAAAAATTGAGTCGTGTCACTCTAGTTGGTTTGCGACCTAGTTGGTTTGCGACCAGCATGAATCCAGACCAGCCTGCGCATCCGCGCAGTCTGATCAGGATAGACCAGCCTGCGCATCCGCGCAGTCTGATCAGGATCCATGCTGTTCGCTATCAGTTTCACTACTTGTTATAGGGTTGTAAGCGAACAGCATAGATCCTGATCAGACTGCGCGGAGGCGCAAGCTGGTCTGGATCCATGCTGGTCGCAAACCCATTATGTTGGTTTTGTCATAACACAGCTCATTAATGATTAAATTGAAATTAATAAAATTGAATACAGCAAATCAATTATTTTTTCTGTTTCTTTTTATAATATATCACTCGCTTATTATGCATCACTTATAAATTAAAGCATCAAATATGGCTGGTTATCTCTCATTTATTTGAATGCTATAACAAACAGACTTAAGATATTTCAAGACATAAAGAAATATCTGCCTACCTAGATACTGTATGACTTGTTAAAGATTCCATAATTATTATTGATTTAATGCAATTACAAGAAATTGAATTTTTTTTTTATATTATCTGTATGGATATAATGGTCAAATGATCTTCTTTTATGAACTGATAACTAACGAATAGTTCAGTAATGTTAAGATAGTAATACAAACAAAAACTAGACCTTTTAGTCAAAAGACTAGACCGGTTACAAATCTTGTTTACGGGAGGCATACCAAACTTTTGTAAAAAAGAAACGTGACTTAAGATATATTTTAAAAGCAAAACTTTATTTTATCTATGTTATTGATTATCAAAGAAAACGCATTATGGTAAATAATATGTGACTTTCATGATTCATTGTTTTATATTGCTTGTTATTGCAGCCATATCTGGAGATCATGAATAATCTCTTAGGGGATCATACATTTTACAGTTGGATTGATATAATAAACCAGGTATCAATGCTTGTTTTTCATTTTTAAAAGTATATAAATTTAATGTCAATTAACGAATATTTTGTTCAACGTGAATCTATCATACATGCTTGACCAAGATGACAATTCCTGAAAAAGAGAGATAACGGATATCTTCCTATTGGAAAAAGAGAAGGAATCCGTTTTGCTAAAGACCCTTATCATCTATGTACTTTTCGTATATATTCTTGCATGATTTATTATATATAGTAATATCACTTTTAGCAATCAAAACAAAGTTATTACATTTATCATTTGTTATCGATACATACCCTTTTATTACTTTTGTGATTAATAAACATTTCACACTTACCTTTTTTATACTTTTTGCATTTTCAGACAGGCAAAGGCGCAAATAAAGTAATCGATGGCTTTAAAAGTATCATGAATGCAGAAGATGAATCTGCAAAAAATGCATGTATGTTTTGTTCTTGTTTTTTTGGGGGGTTTTACGTCACATTGACACAGTATAGGTCATATAGCGACGTTCCACCTAAGCATGTATGTATGTATGTATGTATGTATGTGTGTGTGCGTGTGTGTGTGTAAGTGTGTGTGCGTTGGTGCGTGCGTGCGTGCGTGCGTGCGTGTATGTATGTTTGTATGTATGTATGTTATCTTCTAAGTTAACTTCTGTAAAGACCGTTAACTTATCAGTTTTAGAATATTGTCCACGAAATTTTATAGTTTTTTCGTTTCTTCATAGTTATTCATCAGAGTATTAGTTGAATAATGACATTTGAAAGTCGTTATAAAGTTGTAATAAAGTATTATGATATATATGTCTACATATCTAACATTTCTGTTAAAGTTGCGAGGGAATGTGAGTATCGACCAACGGATAAACAAAAGGAACGTTTGAAAACAAATGTGTCAATTGATGCTTTGTATGACCAGGTTTGTCCTCATTAACATAGCAAAATCGTAACCTTAACTATTCTTGTATTATTATTATTTGTGTTTTTATGAATGAAGTCTATACAATGTAAAAGACAATTGGACATATATATAAACATTATGCAGGAAACCGTTTCGTATCTTGTAAAGTATTACGTATTATTGTAAATTGAAAACTGTATATAAATTCTGAGAAATATTATATATTTAAACTTAGTATTATGATAATAATTTTGCGATTTGTTATGTAAATATTGATACATAGTATTATATTGAAAAGTAAACAAAATCTTTGTTTTCAAAAAGATCAATTTCGTATATGTAAAGTCAATGTTTCATTAAAAAAGTTGGCATTAAGTTGATGATCAGCAGGAATAAATGTAATGGAACTTTGTCAATTTTGATCCTCAAAAAATACAAAATAAATAATGATAAAATATATCAGGTAAACACAAGGTGGCGTACTATAAAGGATATCTTTATATATTTCAGTTCATTAACTCGTCAGATTATGATAAAGTGTACGTTTTAAATCAACTAAAGAACGCAACAACTGTTTTTAAAGAAAATAATGAAACGGTACCATCTGAAAGAATAATAATGATCTTGAAAATGATTACAAAACTTGCAGGAGGCGTGGATTTAAATGACCCAAAGTCCTTGACAGATGAAAGTCTAAAGGTAAACGTGAGGTTAAACTGTAAATCGTGACATCTTGATATTTAAATATTCATTCTATAAGCTAGATGGGAAATATTATGAAACAGCATACCTCTGTACAATAAATTTAATTTAATATATTGACCTCTAAACGACTATGGCTTTCAAGTTAAACAATTCAGACAATTTAACTTCAACTTTCAGTCTGAACGAAGACTTTTGTGTTTCAAATACATATTTTTTAATGGTTATTTTGTTTCATTAGGTTGAATAAAAGGCAATCTGTGATGAGAAATTTCTTCAGCTTCTGTTTTAATTTAATGATATTTTAATATATGCATAACTAAAATGTGAATACTAGACCTTGTTATATCATCTATATATAGTCTTGTTTTAAGGTTTAAGCATGTATATGAGATATTTTTGATTCATTGTTTTATATTTGGTTTTTGTACATTTAATTGCAGCCATATCTGGAGATCGTGAGTAATCTCCTAGGGGATCATACAAAAGAAAGTTGGATTGTTATAATAAACCAGGTATATATGCTTTTTAAATCTTAAAGATTCAACTATATAGATAAAAGCTCGATTGTGGAATACATTCATTAGCTTAAATATAAATCTCTTTCGGGATCGCTAACACTAACCAAACTTAAATCACATGCTATCGTATCAAACACAGAAAAAACATATGTTTTCTTTGTAAGAATTCGATAGCAAATCTCAAAGTGAAGAAGTCAAAGTCAAGAAAATTTTTTATCAATTGGACACGAAGTCCGTATCATTTATGCAAATTTGGTTTATTTTCCTATAAAACAATGGAAATATACTCAACAAAAATTAAGAGACAAAAAACAACAATATTTATCCGAATCTGTCCTTTTATTTATGTTATTTCTTCATACTTTATTTTCAGACAGGCAGTGGGGCAAATGAATTACTCGATGGCGTTGAAAAATTCATGACAAACATAAATGAAACAGACATAGTTGAATCAGTAAATAACACATGTATGTATGGTAAACTTACAAACAATTACTTCCATTAGTTTACTTATCTTTCTATACCTTTCTTTTTGTGTAAATGTACGATATTATACATTTTGATTGAAAGGATGAAGAATAAATCATAATCATCTGTACGGGCGAATAAATAACTAAAGTTAACAATGATTTTATTTTAAAGTTAAATATTCTGTACTTCAAATAATCATATTTTAAAATAATTTGGTTTTCGTCACTGTAAACAGTATATGCCGACTTTCCAGCTTTACTGGAGGTGGAACTCAAGTGTCCTTCCTTACATTTTCTTCAGGCACAAACATTCACCTTAGTAGATCCACTAACATTTTGGAAAGTACCACACATGAAAGTATCTAAATTCCCTTGAGGGATTCACACCTATGGTTGTGTGTGTGTGGGGGGGGGAGTAAGTGATTTGAAGTCAAAGACCTTAACCACTCGGCTAAAATAATAAAACACTCATCTTCTGTTAATACCAATTAATGTTGTTGATGCCAGAAATAAATCAGGCGAGGCGCAGAAAATTATGTTCTGATACGGTTACTTCTTTTATTCTGGTTTAAACAATTGTTGTGGTAAATCATAATAAAAACCGGTATATCGTAATTATACGTATTCATTAACATAAAAATAATGTTAAGTGTTAAGTAACTATTGTAAACTTCGCAAATAAAAGGTAACTTTTTTAACGCTTAAGGAGATATTACAGGCATGAGATGTTGTATCGTTTTTTCTCATATAAAGACTGTAACATTTTAATCAAATACATTATCTATTTTTCATTGTTTAAGTTATTTTAAGGGGCCTTCATTCTTTTTCCAGAATGTTTTAACTCACATAAACTGTTGTACTTGTTTTTTTACAGACGTCGTGAAAGCATCATTACGCGATTGCGAAAATGGTATTCATTTTCCGAACCATACTGACATGGCATTGCCAGCTTGGCTAGCAAAGACCAAAAACAAGATTTTTCTAAACTGTGACAAAGGTATGCATACCGTTTTTCAGTTAAATGAAAAAGATAAGTGTTGTTTTTTCATTATGGCTTGTACAGCTCGAGTTCGCTATTCGTTTCATTATTTGTTTATATCAATAGGGTACATGTACCACCTGAACAGTTATTCATTTATGATCCGTCCAGCCTAAAAGCGTAGAGGTACACCGTTTGCTTTGTAAGTGTTCATACTCTGGTTCGAATCCTGAAAAAGGGAGATTTCGTTTCGTTTTTAGGTATTTTCAACGAGCTAGATTTTAGTTCCTTGTGAATTTTATTCATACAGAGCTATTGAGAACATTTAGTTTTACACACATTCGCATACAACAGGTTATGGTAAAGATAACACAGTCGAGATTAATGAGCAATGGACAAATATATATATATTATGTATATATACATTGGTCAATATATATTGGTATATATATATATATACACACAAATGAGCCAAAATTGTTAAAAACGTGGTTTCAAAAATAAAATAAAATTGATAATACAATTCAGTCTGTTCAATGATTGTTTTTGTTAAAAAATCAAATGAATTTAATTTGCATAACCGTTATAAGTTTAACTTTAAATTGTGCAACATTAATAAGTTACAGGTTTAAACAGTTACGTGACACACGTTACGTGATACACTATAAAATAAATTCTAAAACTCGAAAAGTGTGCACATTGCAGATTTGCATCTAAAAAATCATTTTAATAACATGCTCACTACGCTGCTTGTATTAACGTGTCCATATGCACTTTAATTTTTCTATATTGCAATAAAAGTACAAAATGTAATAACTGAACAACTTGCACAACCCATTAAGCCACAACGGTACAATGATTAATGCAATTATTATCGTATTCGACTAATAATATCATCAAGCTACACGCGCAGCAATTCAATGGCAGGAAAGAAAATCACGAGAACACGCACCGTTGTGATTCTTGGAGCCGTATACAAAACGCTTACTGCAATAATGGTCCGCAACAAAATTGCCGAATGACATCGAGCTAGCACGTGAAACGATTACTTTATATGGAAAAAAATAGATAAGGAAATCCAGAACTTTCGAATCATATGCATTATTTAATACAATAATAGATCTTATTAACCTTTATTCGTGCATCAATATATGCAGTCGCTTCCTCACTCATCAAATCACTCCCTTTACTGGCTCGGACTCTAAATGCATTCTGAAGCCTCTGAAGATATTTATGCACGAAATAATTTGTACAATCTAACTATTAACTTCTAGACAGCGATGTTTCTTCTGTCATATTGGAATACTTGGGAAAAAATTCTCTACGATAAAATCTACCTCAAACACGTACAATATCATTTATGCAACTATTTAAATTGTTGATTAGTTATATTGCAAATAACCGTCATCTAACCTGTCAAGAATTTTTTTAATGAATTTACAATACGACAAACTTTTTTTTTTCTCTTTTATTTTTCAATCAAAATATACAAACATTCAAATCATAGTACATGTAATGAATACATAAAAAATAATGTCAATTCAATGTTATCAGATTATGACAAGTATATTTGTATGTTAAGATCTTTTTATAAAAGATTTTGACAGAAGAAAATGAGTGCTAAGAAGAACTGATAGTACTATAAAGTGCATAGTAAGTAAGAAAGAGAGAAAAGAAAGTGTATAAAGAAAGGAAAGATAGATGAAGAATGAGAAGAAAAAAAAGAGAGAGAAAAGATAAAGATTAGTTATGTCCCTATTAAAAGATAGTTGGAAAAAAAATACATTCATAATGATATTTTACAAAGCTAATACTTAGTAAAAAAATATATTTAAAAAAAAATAAATAAATAAATGGAGAAAATATAAGGAATGGACTAAACGGAGATAAGAATTGAAGATCGTTTCCTTTTCTATTTGTATATGCATAAATTATATGTCTAAATTGTGTGGTTTTGGGGTCTGTAAAAGTTAAGTTTCATTGAAATTTGACCATTTTTCTTCAAAATTTTGTAGATTGTCTTGTCTTGTATTAATGATATTTCTTTTTCAATTCTAATCCTGTAAGAGAGAAATGGCATAAATTTTTCAAAAGTGGGTATATTTTTGCTATATTTCATTTTAAATATGAAATATTTACACAGAATTATGATAAAATTTACCGTGTTATGTTTACTTAATATACCGAAACACACCTGTCTTAAGTTAAGAGGTATTTCATAACCTTTAGAGAATAAAAATGTTTGAATTTTGTTCCAGAAAACTTGTGCTAACTGACATTCCCATATTAAATGTTCAATAGATTCTATCTCCATTGAACAAAAATCACACAAATTGCTAGATGATAATTTGCATTTAAAAAGATATTTATTTGTTGGGACTAAACGCATTAAAAATTTGTATTGAAAACTACGAAGATTGGTGTCGATTGTAGACTTAAAAGGTATATTAAATATTGGTTTCCAATCTATTTCATTGTCATTAAATATGTTTTCCCATTTTATGGATGCAGTTGGTTTTTCAACAGTTATTGCATTCATTTGAAGTTGATACAACATCTGATTTGGTGACTTTGTTTTTTTAGTTTTTCTATTAGAAAATCTTCTTTATTCCTATAGAGAAAATGCATTGAAATGTTTTCTTTGAGGCACTTTGGGATAGCTGAGATTATTTGATGATATTTTAAATAATCTTGTGTATCAAGACTTAAAATTTGTTTTGCTAGTTCAAATTTATAAAAGGCTTTTGTACGAAAATCAAAGAGTTGGTCTATATAATTTATACCTTTTTCATGCCATTTTTCCAGGAAATTGTATTTTTGTTGTAATTTTATCTCAGTATTGCTCCATATAATATGTTTTCTAAATTCATTTCCATTTATATCAGAGAACCATGAAATTAAGAAAAATTAAAAAAAATAAGATATCTCTTAGAAATGTATTCGTTTTAAAGATTCTTGAAACATCATGAGAACTAAGATTACATTAAAAAATAAATTTACCACCAAATGGTTTTAATATATTCTCAAAAAGGCTTCTCAGTGTCCATTGCTTTTGAAATCAATCTCTTTACCCAGCAAGCTTTAATTGAAGTTAAAAATGATTTTATATCTGTTAATTTTAATCCTCCTGCATCATAGTTGTTTATAATAGTTTTACGCTTAATTTTATCTGTTTTACCATCCCATAAGAAGTTAAAGATTGCTGTTGTTAATTCTTTAATAGTATGGTCAGGTGGGTTTTCAAGAACTGTAAATGGATAAATTAATTTTGGTAGTGCAAATGTTTTAATTACTGTGACTTTGCCCATCAATGTTAGTTTACGGTGTTGCCACTGTTTTAAGCATGTTTTAAATTCTTGTAGTTTTGGTTCTAAGTTAAGCATATTCATTTTGGAGTCTGTGTAGAAAGTTATGCCAAGTGTTTTCGCATGTTTTGATGTCCAAGTGAAATTCATATTTTCTGCATATTTTAAATTTATTGTTTTGAGGGCTCCAACCTTCAATACAACTGATTTTGATGTATTTAGTTTGAGACCAGATATATTTCCAAATTCATTAATGACTTTAATGAGTTTTTCAAAAGAATGTTTTTGTCCGTTATTTATATATGTTGCATCATCAGCAAATAATGTCTGTTTTATTTCTTTATTATTTATTAGAAATCCCTGAATATCATTATCTTTTGCAATCCTGTTTGTTAAAAGTTGAATACATATGATGAATATGGAAGAAGAAAGGGGACATCCTTGTCTTACTCCCTGTTGAATATGAAAACTTTCTGACATGTGACCATTATTTATAATAACACTATTAATTTTGTTATAGAAGAGTTTAACCCATGAAATAAGAGATTCACCAAACTGAAAATAGTGAAGACATTGAACAATAAAATCATGATTTAAACTATCAAATGCTTTTTGATAATCAGAGAAGAAAAGAAGACCAGACTTGTTATTTTTTTCAATATGTTCTATTATTTCAAATATTAGTCGTACATTTTCTCCTATATAGCGTCCTTTCATAAAACCCGTTTGCTCATGACTAATTATTTTATCTAATACTTTCTTTATTCGAATAGTAATTGCTTTTGTAGCAATTTTATAGTCAATATTTAAAAGACTTATAGGTCGCCAATTTGAAAGTGAAGTTTGGTCTTTACCTTCCTTAGGTATTAAGGTTATTATACTTTGTTTTTGAATTTCTGATAGTTCACCTTTTCTGTAGGCATAATTAATACAGTTCACAAAATATGTTTTTATTTTATTCCAAAATATCTTATAAAATTCTGTAGTAAGTCCATCAGAGCCAGGTGATTTGTTATTTTTCATTTCAAAAAGAGCAGTTTTACATTCATTTTCACTTAAAAAACCTTCACACATTTCTTGTTCTTCATTTGATAATTTATTTGTATTATCATCAAAAAAAGGAATATCTGTTTCTTTCTGTGGAACTTTAGTGTACAATAATTTATAATATTTCACTTCTTCTTGTAAAATCTGTTCAATATCAAAAATTTCTTTACCATTTATAACTAGTTTCTTAATACTTTTTTTCTCAGCATGTCTCTTTTCTAAATTAGCAAAATATTTTGAGTTCTTTTCATTTCCTTCAACATGGATAGCTTTTGATCTTATTAATGAACCATTTATTTTCTTTTCATATAAATTTTCTAATTCATTTTGTTTTATGGATATTCTTTCTAGTAGATCTTTTTCGTCCTTATTATCGGTATTATAATTATTATTATTACTAATTTTATCCAATGTTTGATGTGCCCTATTTAGATCAGCTAATTCTTTAATTAAAGTGTTTTCTAATTGGTTCTCATTTTTTCTTTTATGTGTAGAATATTTTATTGCAGTATTTCTTATTGTTCCTTTGATAAGTTCCCACAGAATATCTGGTGATGCTTCTGAATTTATCATTACTGCCTCATTTATATTTTCATTTAACATCAATTTAAAATCATTGTCTAAGAGAATACTGTTATTAAGTTTAAAATATCCTGGTCCCCTATTACAATTTTCAAGTTTAATATTTAAGGTAACGCACGAGTGGTCAGTTTTAAAGCCTGGTTTGATATTACATTGAGATATTAAATTAGTGAAATACTCAGACACAATAAAATAGTCAAGTCTGCAGTATATTTTTGGTGTGGTATTTGACCGCCATGTATATTGATGTGAGTTTTCATTTAGTTTTCTCCATATATCAATAAGGTTACATTCTTTCATAATATCTTTAAGTTTTTTTCTTGATTTATGGTGCGAACCAAAAAGACCATTTCTTTTATCCTTTGTAGGATCAAGAACTCTATTAAAATCGCCCCCAATTATGAAATTTTTATCATTATTTTCAAGAATATAGTTTTCAAGAAGTTTGAAAAAAGCTTCATCATCTTTATTCGGTCCATATATGTTTATAATTGTTATATCCTGATCTTTATAGTTAAGTTCTAATGCTACAAGACGTCCTTTTACAATTTCTTTAAAGCTGATAACTTCATATGTTTCTTCTATATTAAGAAGGATTGCAACACCTTCACTGTTAGAATTGTTACCACTGAAAAAAGATTCTCCCTTCCAATCAGATTTCCAAAATGAACTTTTATTATCAGGTAGATGAGTTTCTTGTAATAAGTATATTGACGTTCTTAAGGATTTCAGCCATTGAAAGACTTGTTTTCTTTTACTTGCATTTCCTAAACCCCTAACATTCATTGTGGTTATTGTAGATTCCATATATTATTAAAATTATAAATGATATTTTGGATGTTATTAAGAAAGGAAACGATCATTGTTCTTAGTTTATGAAATAAGATAATTTTGTTCATTTATGAAGGTGAAGGCCATAGGGCAAATTAGTATTTAATTTCTAGATTTTTTTATTCTACATGATAGGGTATTGAGTATATGTAATAGTAATATTTCCTAAACAAACTACAGTCAAAACAGGCTTTTATTTAATTGGGAGAAGAAAAGTTGTTGGTCGAGAGATGAAAATAAAGGTAATTGTAAATAAGATTCTTTAATGGAATTAAAAAAAGATTAAATGACTTGAAAGATAAAAAAAATGACAAAATAAATCATTTTAAAAAAGCGACAAAAAACAACAAAAAAAAAAACCAGCAAAAAAAAACCAAAAAAAAAAACCCAACAAATCTTAATGACTTGAAAAATACGCACACAAGAGAGAAAACAAGATTCAACTTCACCTAAATGGTTAAAAAAATTAACCCAAACCATGAATATCCCCCTCCATCCGCAAAAAAACAATCAAAATTATTATTTAAAAAATAATTCAACTGAGAAACTAAGGTAAAGTAAATACAAATATGTATAGTCAACTAGAACTTTTATGCATTATTCTCCTATGTAGGCAAAAATTGTATTTCTCAATTTTTTATGAATTATCACAAGTCCGATATTTACAATAAACATATACATGAAAAGCAAATAAAGCTATTTTGCAGTGTTTACAAAGGTTAGGCAATAATAGTACTGTACTATACATAATATGATATACAATGCATCATGTAGTTATTAATAGGCTGGACAGTTGTTTACATTCTATTTTTAGACAGTTATTCAACAATATAATAAAAAGCATTGACCACTGGCCAATTTTAAAGGTGTATGACTCTTTTACGTTGCATTGTATACTCCATAATTTTTCACTGACATTTTGATATTACTCAGTTTTTTTCTCAAAAAGTTACAGAAACAAAACAAAATAAGAACAAAAAAGCAAAAACAACAAATGTCTAAATAGCTCACATGTTTATTGAATGGAGTTGTTTTTTACGACAAACTTTCTTTTATTTAGAAAACATAAATGTACTTCGTAATTTTACAGTTGTACATGTATATACGTTTATATAAACGTCACAGTTATCCAATTAAAAACAATGTTACAACTGTGCTGTCTAATAAATAAGTATACACTATTTGCAATCAAATACGATAATGTAGTTCACTATTAGCATCATATAACCGTCTATACTACATGGATTAAGTTCGTATGTATATTTACAGATTCAAATTCATACGTCGGAATCATTTTCAACAGCATCGAATCCACCTTTCCTTCAACATACGGACCAGAAATGCTAGTATCATTACATACAATTTATCTTCAAATGTTTTTTTAACAATAAAAAAATAAATGTTTTCTGTAAGGTTTGTTTTATTTCGCAACAACGTAAAAGTTTATTTTTATTAAAAACGATTTCAAGCTAAAAAATAAAAATAAATCCCTGCCAGCCCGAGTCCTACATAATTCAAACCGATTGTTACTTTGCAATTGGTAGGCATTTTATTTTTAATGTACAAATAATGATTGTTGACAATAGAAATACTTATTCATGATCAGTGTTGCTTGATTAAGTCAGTATTATTAATTATGTTTAAATGAATATAAATTATTCTATATATAAGAAGTATAAGTTATTGTCAAGGAGTCATCTATACATATATTTTTGCATACAGGGACTTACAACACGAGTTAAATTCCGCCGTGATTTCATTCTCATTGATACCCAAGCCACTGGGCAAACTAAAACATCCAATTGAAATAACGTTTCAAACATTAAAGGTACGTGTGGCTTTTCCAGTTGTTCGATTTTTATGTTCATAATCCAACGTTGTCGTATAACTGATATAAAACCCTGATTTTCAATTGGTATTTTCAGAAAGAGCTTGATGATCCGAAGTGTGTATATTGGAAAAACATTGAAGGGTAAGGTATTTCACAACCAGATAAAAAATTTATTCTCTATCTTTATCTCCAAAACAACGTATTTTGTCGGGTAGATATGTTGGTAATGAAATTTTGTCATGCGTACAAACTATTTATTATGATTTCCATAAAAACGTCTTAAATATTCTACAATCATTGTTATCGTTTTCTTTATATTTCTATTCTAAGCATGAATTGTTCATAATTTAATTTAATTTTTATCATTGATAAGTCATGATAAGAGGCGATCTATGTCCAACGCATGATACATTTTCGATTTGATATATAGATCGCAGGGATATTGGTCTTCAGAAGGTTGTTGGCTTCACCAATACATGAGGCAAGATGGTGTTATTGTTTGTAAGTGTAATCATCTGACTAGCTTTGCTGTACTGATGAGCCTTTCGCCTGGCCTGGTATGTTTTCAATTAATTATGAACAATTTTGTATCGAAGCTTCTATTAATGTATTACTGATGGATTTGCTTGCTAATCCTGTCGAAAAACCATAAATTATTTTGCCTTCTTAGGTAGACTCTCTAACTCTCAGATTAAAAAATAAAAATGTTGTGTTTTTGGTCAGATTCTGTTTTGATTTGTGTGATGCAAGCACATTTATACATTACAGTCATTAAATCTTTGAATATGTTTGTAAAAAATCTGAAATAAACGTATTCTATGTTATTCTGGCTTCTCAAACTAACTAGGAAATAAACTGCACCAATTATATTGCAACTATTTTGCCTAAAATTTGCCACTAATGCATAAAAAAACAAAAAAAAAAAAAAAATAAAAGAAATATACGTGATCATAAAAAAGATTTTGCATATCGTATTACCGTTTCACTCTGAGTGTTACTTTAATGCGTTAAATACGAGCATTTTAGAAATTAATCCAATTAAATGTGAGTTAAGACTTATGGAGGTATATCTGTTCCAATGTAGCATAATGAGAACGTCATTTGTAACAACTGTATTTTTCTAGGCTTCACATCACTACAAGGTGTTGAGTATCATCACCCAGATCGGGCTGACTATCTCAATGGTGTTTTTAGCCCTGAATGTGTTTATCTTTATCTTATTTTGGAGGTGAGCATCAATCTTATAATGTTTATTCCAGTGCTAAGATGCACAAAAACCGTGACAATTTTTTTTTAACACTGCCGATCATGCACAAGCTCAGTCACGTTTGAAACAAGTTCTGTTCTGATGCTTGGACTTAAACCATCTTATAAATATCTTATTAATCTTATTGAACTCGGCGTATGGAAATTTTTCATTAAAACAGCTTCAACAATATTATAATAAAGGTACATCATATAGATAACTTAATGTGAAAGCAGTAATGCACATTTTGAAGTATAGTTGTTTTTTTTGCATCTGATTAGAAATAAAAATGTTTTTTTTTCATACGGTATGAGACCTAAACCAGTTCTCAATGCATTTATTGCACTCATACAATTAGTAGGAGTGACCAAATAACCAAGCGGTGACTTCAACCTTTTAAGTAAGTTATTTTCAATTCAAACAAGAATATGTTGCAAAGTTACTCGGTCTTTTGCAATCATGATGGAATATTTTATAGTAAGTTTGCATACTCAAAACAATCAAATAATATTAGGATGTTTTCATTGAAAATATAAATAAATGATTTTTAAATAGTTTATTCCGGTTCTGTCTTATTCAAACACTTATTTCTTTGTATTGTTTTAGATACGTAAAGTCAGCGCAATCGATCATGAAACTGAACCTTTCATGTGTATTATTTTTAGCAAATCTGATATTTTTGATAGGAATAGACAAAACCACTAATGAGGTAATAGTTTACACTTCTGTTATAGATATATCTATATATGTCTTTTAACATTATTAAAATAAGCCCAGATAACGTTCTGATAATTTGCAGTATTGCTTTTGTTAATGTTTTTTATAATCTGATTAAAGTGTTGTTTCGTAGCAGTGCTCGTGGAGAACTTAATGTTCAATGACGTCGTTTTATTAGCTCACCTGAGCACAAAGTGCTCAAGGGATAACTCTGCGTCCGTCGTGCGTCCATCAAAAAATGGCGTCAAACTTTTCAAAAAACATCTCCTCCTAAACCACATGGCCAATTGCAAACAAACTTTACAGAAATGATCCTTTGGTGTCACCTTTAAAAATTGTTCAAAGAATGGCAACCGTAATAAAAAACTTTAAATATCTTCTTTAAAAAAAGTCTAAGAGCTAGAGCTTAGATATTTGGCATGAAACATCTTCTAGTGAGTGTCTACCAAGTTTATTCAAATAAAAGCCCTGGGGTCAAAATTGGCCCCGCCCCAGGGGGTCATTAATTTTCCCTGTATGCATATAGTAAAAACTTACAAAATCTTCTTTTAAAGGACCAAAAGAGCTAGAGCTAACATATTTAGCATGAAACATCTTCTAATGAGTGTCTACCAAGTTTGTTCAAATAAAAGCCCTGGGGTCAAAATTGGCCCCGCCCCAGGGGGTCATTGATTTTTCCTATATGCATATAGTAAAAACTTAAAAAATCTTCTTTGAATAAAACCCAAATAGCTAGATTGTTGATATTAAGCATGAAACATGTTCTAATGGATGTCTACCAAATTTGTTCAAATGAAAGCCCTGGGGTCAAAATTGGCCCCGCCCCGGGGGTCATTGATTTTCCTTATGTGTGTATAGCAAAAACTTTAAACTCTTCTTTGAAAAAACTAAAATAGCTAGAGTTTAGATATTAAGCATGAAACATCTTCTAGTAAGAGTCTACAAAGTTTGTTCAAATAAAAACCCTGGGGTCAAAACTGGCCCGCCCTCGGGGTGTCATTGTTTTTAACTATATGTGTATAGTAAAAATTGTAAAAATATTCTTTGAAAAAACCCAATGAGCTCAGAGCTTAGATGTTTAGCATGAAACATCTTCTTATGGGTGTCTACCAAGTTTGTTCAAATAAAAGCCCTTGGACTAAAATTGGCCCTGCCGGGGGGGGGGGAGGCCTATATACAGGTGAGCGACCTCAGGGCCATCATGGCCCTCTTGTCTTTTACTGCTGATCATAATACAAAATAAATCTACCCCAAGAAAGTTTCGTCTGCTTTTGCGTATTTTCCTGAAAACTATAAATATAATAATTGATATCTGGAAAAACATCGTAACTAAACACATAAGTGTACCGTGTTTTTTTACATATGTTTCATTAAAATATTTGTAATATTATTACTTTAACTGAAATCTATTTCCTTATTAGCATATAGTAAAAATAAAACAAACTTATGCAATTGTTAATTTGTTATAGAGGCAGTAGCAAAACGTTTGGATAATTCTTCGTATAATATAACTTAAGATATCTCGGCATTGTCTAAAATTCAACTCATATAATTGATATACGTATTTAACCTGAAACGATGCATTGTTCTTAAAGGTTGTGTGTTCAACTGTAGCAGTGCTCCTTCATCTACTCTACCTAATGGTGTTCTTTGTTATGCTAGTCCTTGGCCTTCATATGCTCAACGGTGTTTTAAATCCCACTTATCTTGGAGACAACACATTGCGCAACCTGTTGGCTTCTTATGGTAACATATAAAACGTAACATAACTATTTAAAGGAGTTCAACTAAGGTCAAAATGCAAAAATATGCAAAAAATGATAAAACTTTACTCAGAATGAACTTCAAATTGATTTTCTTGTGGCGATTCCTTTTAGATAAGAAGATTTAACGAATCTCATTTTAGTCATTTTGTACAAAATATATTTTTAAGGAATGTAGAACTAGTTAGATTTTAACATCAAATAGAACATTTTAGATATTTCCTTTACTGTCATGACAAAAAAAACTCACTCATTGGAGTCCCTTTTTATTTATAGCTACGTAGAAGTATTAAAAATTACTCTCCTCATGATTTATAACTTCACATTGCAAAAGATGGTAAAGGGCTTAAAAATAAACGATAAGTGAAGGAAGCGAATATTTAGTGTATAGAACTTTCTTATCGTAATAAATCACGATATAAGTTTGAATCGGTTTGTGATGTTCAATATTTTAGACATTTTGATGAACAACTTTATAGTTGAATGTTTACTTGATATAAAAACAACCTTGTAAGATCTGGAAATAAAGTAAATACCAACTGGTGCGAAATGGCCAGGAATAATCAAATCCATCTTGCAACATTTCTATTATTTATAGAGGTTGTTTTAAGAACTTGATTAAGATTTTCATACAAGAAACATTTAAATAGAATAGATACATTAATAGATTAATTTAACAAACACTATATAATATCATTTTAGGTACAGCAGTGTTTGTTGTTGCAGTGTCTGTAGGATCCACTCAGCTTAAAGGATACGGCACTGACAAGTAGTATGCATAATGTTCGATATACCATTGTCTCGACAATCTGTATCAGATATCTAATTATTGCCGAGAAAAACCTATTTCTTTCAATTTCATTTAAGGGTGTTCTTGGTTGAAAATATGCAACTTATTTTTCTTCGCCAGTTACTAGTATTATAATTATTTGGACAGCAATTTATAGCTTGACTTCTGAACAGATTATTTCATATTTTTTGTGTTAACCTTTTATGATATCCGGTTATAAACTTTGCATGAAAATTCTATTCAATTTACTTTTATAACAAAAAAGAGAATATGTCTACTATAGCAGACTGTCAACGTCAATAATTTCGAAGTATTGTATGAACATGAAAGTTACACACGCGGTTCCAATGTGTTCAGGGGATCTTAGAGAAAAATAATATAACCCTGGCTTAATCAGTAGTCAAAGTCAAAGTTATTAATCATAAGATTTCTTTTTCTATGCTAAATATATTAAGTTAAACATTACGTATTATATCTGGGAAAGATTCATTTGGTATTTTCGTTAATTATAACGAAACATGCAAACTAATTGTTTCTTAACCAATTAACTTATAATTTCTTGTGAAGTCCAATGGAAGTTTTCATCCATTTTTGTGTATGTTGATAAGATGATTATTTTCACTTCAGTTGTTGGCTGTCGACAGAGACTGGGCTAATTTGGGCATTTCTTATACCTGTCATTGTCATCATAACTGTATGTTTCAATCAAAGTATATTTATATATTCATCAAGAACATTTTAAGCCTATAGATTAATTTGAATTCAATATTAGATAAATGAACATGAACATAGTTGATTTATCATATAAATGTTATTTCTTAGCAAAATAGAAAAGAATATGAAAATTATCAATTCTCAAAATGAAATTATAAGCTTGTAATAATAAAGACTGCAATATATCTATTACAGATTAATTTCACAATTGTTGTGGTGGTATTTAAGATTATGTTCAACACAACCCAGATGACGAGGAAGACCAGTTTCAATCGAGTAAAGTAAGTTAGTTAATTGGTAACAAATGGTAAGTTTAAGCCAGCAACAACAGCATTGGATTATCCGAATAAAAAACAAGGGCAACATTGTCGCAAAATACGTCTGTCACAAAAACTTTTGACAGAGATTTTAGCATTATAGATATGCATATAGGAAATAAGTTCTAGGCAATTTCCGGAGAATATCTGGATTTTTTTTATCATCTCTAGTGACCTTGACCTTGCAAATATTAACATAAATACATGTGTCACACTTGAAGTCATGATAGTTATCATTTGTGTTACAATCCGTCAATAAATGATGACTAAATGCCACCCCCAACACAAACTTTGCCCTCCTAATGTGACCTTAACTTTGGTAGCAAGGACATGGATTTTGTGTGCAATAAGCCTTACAATGGTGAGTAATGGTGAACATTTGTGCCAAATTACATTAAAATCCCCCAATGAATGTAGAAGTTCGGCTTCAAACAAGCATTAATCAATGACCTCTATGTGTGACCTAACCTTTAACACAGGTTCATGCACGTGACACTGTATCTCATAGTGGTGAACATTTATATGAAGTTCCATTAGAATCCCACTATGCGTGGAGGAGATATGCTCTTTATAAAATGTCTTTAGATACCTTGACCTTGCATATATTTACCTAAATTACATGTTTAACAGCAGCAGTCACGATAATGACCAATTGTGTTCCAATCACTAAATAAATGATGACTAAATGATCCGAATACACATTTTCACATTTTATCTGCACTTTGACCCTATTTGTAACCTTAACCATGGTGGCAAGGACCAAAATGTTTACACACGACACCTCACAATGATAAATATCTGTGCCAAGTTATTTTGAAATACCTCTATGCATGTAGAAACTTTGCTGCGAGCAAGCGTTTTTCAAAGACCTCTTAGTGTGTCCTTGACCTTTAACCAAGAGACCTGGTTCATGCGCGCGACACGGTTTCTCATAGTGAAGTTTCATTAATATTCCTTCATGCGTCAGATATGCTCCGGACAAAAATAGGACGCCGCCCGCACAAAAAACAAAAACAACAACAAAGAATACATTTAATTTATGAAAAGAAATAACAGTTTCATTTACATTGATATCCTTACAGTTTTTCTTCCAAAACCGAAATTCATAGTTTGATTGCATATTTGGCATACATTTATTCTTTGACTCATTCAAAATCCAATACCGTCGTGCATGAAACATTGTTTGCATACCTTTATCATAATTCACAATGACCAATGGTTCCTTGTAATGATACACCTATGGCATCAACTCACATAAATAGATAAAGTGATCTGTAGTATAACTTTAGTTATTTGTGTTATGTATAAAATAAGGGGTATAATGAATGTTTCTTGAACAACAATCAGGCTGGCACATTAACTTCCCTTTTATTCCAATACCAGGCACTGCACTTTTTTTCATCATTTTTATAACTTTATGTGAATGGAAACATCGAATACATTATAAAGTTAATGAAAATATTACTACTATAAATTATCAATAAAAAAGCCATTGAGTGCCGGTTTAACAATGTAAGTGTAGATAAAATAAAATTGGTACATTTCACAGTTAATCAATTTGTGTGTGTAACCAATTAACCCTTTCGCTGCCAGAGGGTTATTGTTTTATTGATCACATATTTGCCAGAGGGTTGTCTAAGAAATTACTATATCATTAATTAATATAATTATTATTATTTGTTATTAGTATTATAATAATTATATATGCTTCCAAATCTGTTAGTATAATAATAATTATTGTCGATGGTATAATTTTCTTTATATTTATTATTATTTTTATTATTATTAATTTATTATTATTACTATTATTATTATAGAAACGGCAAAAGCCGTCCATATGGCAAATACGCCGAAAATAACAGGGACGGCATAAGCCGTCCCTATGACAGTGAAAGGGTTAATAACGACCCTTTAATATAATTTCCACAGAGTAATGTTTGAATTTACAAATATAAATATTTACATTCTTCTACAGGTCTTCTCTTATAATGTTTTATTAATTATATATTTAGTCATGATAAACCTTAAGCAAAACATATCAATTCTGATGCTAAAATCCGTTAATGCAACCCCTCAGCCTAAAGGGGATAAATGCAAGACGTACTAAACGTAACCTACGTTTATCAAGCTATACTATGATTTGTAAAACATCGTATTAAGACTCCATTCTAGAAAACGTGCGAACGGTATAACATGTCTCATTTGACCGGCCTGCTATTATTAAAACTGGTCATATATATTTGCAGGGCTGGAGTAAGAGGATTTATAGTGTTGTTACCTGTTATGGGACTCACTTGGATAATTGGAATCTTCGCATTTGACTCGAACATGGTTGTCTTTCACTACCTGTTCTCAATTCTGAATAGTTTACAAGTTAGTTTTATATGCGTTTTAAATTGTGAGTAACGTCGTGTGAACATTTGTCATGTTTATATGTTAAATTCTTCATACGTCAATAAGATTGAAAATCCTTTTAACTACAACAATTCAGTCAATACAGGTAGTGAATTTAGAGGGTACTTTATAAGTATTAATTAAACTGTTGTGATTTTTAATGACAATGCAGGGGTGTCCGTGGCCGATTAGTTAAGGTCGTTGACTTCAAACCACTTGCCCCTCACCGCTGTGGGTTCGAATCCGGACAGGGACTTTGGATTCTTTCATGTGAGGAAGCTATCCAGCTAGCTTACGGGACGTCGGTGGTTCTACTCAGGTGCCCGTTCGTGCCTGAAATAATGCACGGAAGGAGACCTGAGGTCTTCCTCCACCAGTAAAGCTGGAACGTCGCCATATGACCTATACTGTGTCGATGTGACGTAAACCCCCCAAAAAACAACAACAAAAAAACAAAAAACAAAAACAACAAAAAACAAAAACAAAAATGATGACAATGCCTCTAGTTTTATTTTCTTATATACAATTGTTAAATTGAACAGTAATAGGAGAAATAGAAAACATTAAACCGACTCCTTTGGTGATATATGTGACACTCAAATAGTAGATTACATATTTACATGGTATTAGTTCAAGTTACATTATGAACCATTTCTATAATTAAAAATGAACTGACTTTAACTGTCATTTTTTGATAGAATAAACAATCATTCATTTAACAAAATAAACCCAATATATATATTTTAAGTTGTATATTGTTTCGTGTTTTAGGAGTATGAATGAATTTATCTGATCTTTTTCAGGGCTTCTTCATATTTATTCTTCACTGTGTGATGAATGAAAAGGTAAACTATCTTTTAATGTATTCCTTAATCAAATTTTAAAACGCATTTAAAAACTTACATTCATTTTCACCATTACCAGAACTGCATCAGTACTAAGGGTGTTGTATTTAAGTACCAGTACCAGTACTTGCCAAGTTATGCAGTACCATTTGTAGTACCAGTACTAGATTTTAGCTCGGTACTGCAGTGCCAGTAATTTTTTGGGGGAAGTAATTAAGTATCAGTACTATTACCTTCATATATTCATCAAAGTTTGAATAAATACACCAGTGTCAAACTAAATAATTGCCAACATTATTCAGCAAAGAAATAAAAACATTATTTACTTTAAATGTAACATTACTTATTTACAACTTAAATGATTTAACATACTTTTTGCAAGCAATATTTACATCATACATTCATGTGATATCTTATTGTTTAGTAATACAATGCAATCATCTTTCATTTAAAACACAACAGTCTTTTGTTGCTTTTCACACCTTCACACCTGTTTTCAATTTATACCAAAGTAAATAACAACTTTTATGGTGCTAACAAGATCAACTGAAATATGATAATTTAGAATAGAAGCATTTTATTAGTGTTTATCTATTTTGCTCTTTTATACTAGTAAATACAAAGTAATAAAAGATTGTTTTGAGGATATTTTAAAGTTACATTAAATAAATATGTAAAAATATTTTGCCGTCGGCCTAAAAATCAAACATTCTACATTTTCATTAACCTGTTTAACAGTATTGTTGTAAATCTCATCGAATATTGTTCATAAATAAGGATTTTAAAGGGAAAACCCCACGGTAACACTAATGTTCGTATACGAATTTTAACATGCAAATGAAGATTATAATCAGCTTGTGTATGCGCTACGTCACAGTGTTATAGCTGTTATCCGGAACACAACAAATATGAGGTTTTCTTGTGCAAACACATTTTAACCGTTTAACTACACGGTGCACTAGGCCTGAGGTTCAGTAAAAATTAATCATCTCATGAAAAAAGATTAAATTTGTATGAAAACATTCGTTACAATGCAGAAATATACCGTTAAATTAGGACTGCTACCTATAGTCATGTTTGTTGATTCAATATTGATGTACAGATCATCTGAAGGCGGAGTTTCTCATGCATCCGATTTCGCCACAATGAGGTTGTCCATTTTTTATGCTTATGAAACTCATTTTGGTTGTGTGGACACCAAAATAAGATCTGGAGATGATATGAAACCCAATTTATTAATGAAATGTCGCTATTTCTGTTTTTATGAAATTTATTAAATGTAACTTTAAGGTAAAGAGACATTGTGTCTGTTTATTTCAATTTACTTTTTACTTCAAGTCTTTGGTGCTTCTTTTTATGATGAATACTATGTTAACATTTGAAGGAATATTGCAGGAAATTATCTACAGATTTGATAACTTACTTTGTCACAAAAATAAATTAATACATGGAATTTACAGCTTTACTTTATGAGAAAAATTGGTGTCATTTTTATCAAAACCAAAGTACTGCATTGTAATGCAGTAGCAGTTTTACTTTTTAAGACAGTAATGCAGTACCAGTACTAGTAGGAGCAACATTTTGTAAGAGTATTTCAGTATCAGTACCAGTACTTGCAAAATCGCTGCAGTATGTACTGCAGTACCAGTACCAGTAATGCAGCTCTGACCATTACCAAGGGCCTAATTTAACATTATAAAGAAATGAATACCCGTTGTAATATTGGCCGTAGCTCAAGAAGTAAAGCAATCATTTTGACACCTTCAGATATCAGTATTGGTTAAAAATGATGTCTTATCACCGTTAATAAATGTATGTATTATATCAATTCCAACTATTATTTCAGATTCGCCAAGCTGTTGAGAGGTTGAGACCTCAGTGTATTCGATCTACAGTATCTGAAACCAAAACAACTGGAGCTTCTAATAGTCAAAAGAGTCGTTCAAAATGAAAAGTACTCATCAATTTTGATAAGATTACTCGGATTAAATTCAATTATGGGGCAGTCGGGGACATTCTTGTTCAAAATTGAAATAACAATTTTTGCTACAGATATACATGTATAGCTTCATACAATTAATTGAAACAAAAATCGGTGTAAAATATATGGATAAATCATGTACTCATCTAACATTCTGTAATTTCAGGCGAATAATGAATGAGTGACATTGAATAAAACAATATTGTATTGTTTGGAGGACATATGGACTGGAAGAGGTCAACAATAATCGCTTTGAAAGCTGGCATAGATTTAAATTATAAAATAGTATCAAATTTATGTGAAATGGACAAATTGAAGTGTTTTACTATGAACTGAATGAATTTAACATTGAATATTTCCTCTTTTTAGCTTCATTTGTGATATATGTTTACAATAAATGTTGTAAAGGAACTAAATATATCTATTGTAGAATAATTTCAAATATAACACTTGAAAAGAAATTGTCAATTAAAAAATGGCTCAGCCTCCAACGTGTTTAACTCTAAAATATATTTGCTGATTATACAAGCCCATATAAAAGCTATATTGTTAGCAATTCATATAAAGACAATCTTGATTAAAGTCCTTAAAGGATATATTGATAAAAATCCTTATATAGGCAATATTGATAAAAACAATATCAAGGCCATATTGATGTAAGTACCTAAAAGGCCATATTGATAACATTCAATATAAAAACTATATTGATTTTAGTCCTTATAAAGGCAAATTGAATATCGGAAACAGAACATATAAAGACTATATTGATAAAATCAATACAAAGGCGGCTATATTGATAAAAGCCCATCTGAAGGCTATATCGATACAGTCCATATTAAGGATATATATGTACGAAAGTCTTATAAAGGCCATATTTATGTTGTGTACGTTTTCATTATGTCTAAGGTGTTTATTATATAATTGTCACTAGTGTTCAAGTGTTTGTTTTATGAAATAATTTATCCAGTGATTGATAGTATTGTTCTGTTAATGATTATGTTGCATCTATTTTAATAATTATCACATGACTATGAATTATCATACGTTGCGAGGGACGCAGTCACGTGCCAGTCTAGAAACGGTTTCATAACTTAATTCGACCGTTTATAATGATAAAGAAATCGGGTCTTTTTAAATTGAATTTGTCACATAAACAAACAGCAAACAAGTAATGATGGAGACTTTTTGTAACAGATATATAGAAATCGCCTGTATTTGCCGTCGATGTATTTAGGGTTTACGAGGAAAAAAATATAATTCAACTTTGAATAAAAGTTTACCATTGTCATATAATAAAACAAAATAGTTCTGTGAATAACAAATCATATTGCCCTGGCAATCTAAGAGGTTCCCAATTGACAACGTAAAAAATTTTGGTATCAATTTCAAAAATTACATTACTTTTATTAACAGATGCCGAAATCACACAATCCAGGTCATTATAGTTCGATGTGCGCTTTGTCATCATACAATAACTGTAAACTTACTTGTTACAACTTGAAGCTGTAAGTTCGTTTAAAAAATAAACGTTTTCTCTCCTTTAACTGTGCCTCAGGCGTTCATGTTCATGCAAAGCCAATATTGTAATATATTAATCATTCAAAATACGTTAAATGTTGTTTGATGTTTTATTCATACACAAACATAATATTTGTAGTGATTATTTGTTTGTAATGTTTATTGACTGTACTTAATGATATGTAGCTAGTATATTAGGTATTTTCTTTTCTCCTTTCGCTCAGACATTGAAAATTATCATGTATGACTGTACATATTTTTTGTTTAATATGTTGGTTTAACATTTTCGGAAAATAAAATTTGCCTTTTTCAATTTTGCACAACTTTCTTACTTGTTTATTTATCCAAAAAAATGTATACAGGATTGTTAAGAATCAAAATATAAACTATAGTGTGTTGAACTTACTGTTTCAGCAGTGATAGGAATACATTTTATTGGCCCATAGTAAATGACTTGACCATCTTGAATATTCTGTTCTCGGAAGGCCAAGAAATAATAAGATATTTCTAGACTTGTTATTAATACCATCGGTTTTCGTTGAAACGACACAAAAACGTTTCGTTCATTTCATGCCAAGATCTTGTAAATGTTACTTACTTTTGACAAATGTGATTTGGCAAATATTATCACAGAGCTCGAGCAATCTTTCATAGCTCAGAATTACCAAATCTAAAGGATACAATAGATGATGTACGATGTAATTTAGTACTTGCCTGTGTATTTCATCGGAAATTCATATGAAATATTTCGTTGTAGTTCATGCGATCACATTGCAATAGCTTTCTTGGCATGTAAAAAGCTACCTTTAAATCGTTGTTGGCATGTTTGTTGCCCCTAAATAATTCATTAATGTTTTCAAACGATTTTAGATATACTGCCAAATACACAGTTCAGATATCTGCACATTTGAGAGTATATTCTGTTGTTAAATTACTTTTTTTGGTCCCAGATTTCCTTTCTTATATAATATTGTCTCTTGCATTTAGAGAATAAATCAATATATTCACATGATTGGATTTATGCTAACATGCACACATTTGATCTGTTGCGCGCCGAAATGTGTTGGATGACATTTTTCTGTTTAGAAGTGGTTATCATCAAGCGCAAGATAGATTGTGAATAATCGTAAATTTCGTATATGTATGACAATACAATTTGATCCTTTTTTAATTAATCTGCGAATTTGGAAAATTTTGAAGGTTAATTGATTTATTAATGAAGCATAGAGATAGAGTTGTTAATATGTATCCATTACATCAATTTTGCCTACATTTATCATCTTATTACACACATGCCAAGTATTTCATTTCATTATACTCGTATTTAAAAACTCAACGTTTTGAATCCGCTTTTTGTCCTGGAAAAGTTCTTTATATAAGCATTAAGATGACTTTTCTTCTTTTGATCTTCAAAGCCGACTTCCTTGTCTTGAAATTATATTATTCAAAATTTGGCGACATTTTCTGTTAGCAATTCATATCCTTTTATCTCCTAAACTAAAACTTGTCATATAAAAGGATTCAAATATGAAACCTAATTCGTTTAATGCATGGTGGTACTAGAAGACTGACATGGACATTGTAAGATGTTGCCCTTTTCGATTCCATATCTATCCTGTATAAAGCCTTTTAATGATAATAATTGTACAAGACAAGTAATGATTTCCCTTATTATGTCACAAGCTTATACATGTATCAGGATTTTGTACAAATTTCGATTAAAGTCTTCAATTAGTGGAAATATATAAATACTCATGTTTTGGTCATTTTAATCTTGCCCGAGGAACTCACTTGTTAAGAATATTTTAATATACAGTTGACCTTAAAGAGCATTTTGAGATAGTTTATGTTTCAGCAAGGGTCAGGTATTTTATATACAAACGACTCTGAGGATTTTTAGTCTCTTGAGAATGAGGCGTTCTATGTTCAAGGTATTTTTTGTTCAGGCGAGTCTGAAGTATGCTTATTCAAGTGAGATTGAGGTATTAGTATTTAAAATTCAAGCAACTTAAGGGATATAGAGAACACCGTTCTAGTGATTGATAATTATTTTGTTTATTCTATTTCAATATGTATTGATGAGGTGTCTGAAAAACCTGAGGTTGACCGATAAAGCTACATTTAGTAGACATGCGCTTTATTATCAGAAATCAATGTATTGAACTGATAAGTTCATCTTCAAGCGAGATTGAGAGTGAATTAAATGTATTCTATGTCCAATCGTGTTTCAGATATTTTATGTTCAAGTATATTTCAGGTATTCTATGTTTCAGAAAGATTGATGTTTTTGGTATTCTATATTCACGTGAGATTGAGGCATTTTAACTTTAAGCTAGATTGATATATTGATGTTCTAATGAGGTTGACGCATTTATTGCACAAGCGATCGAGGTTCAGGGTTTTTATGTTCAGGATCGCTTAAGGGTTTTGATGTCTAGGCGAGTTTCAGGTACTCTATGTACAATCGAGTTTCAGGTATTTATGTTTAAGCGAGTAAAGCGGGTTATGTTCAAGCTAGTGTCAAGTAGTTTATACAAACAAGTTTCAGGTAAGTTTTCATGTATAAGCGAGGTTCGGGTATTACATTATCATGATACATCAGCAAATTGCCGTAATTGTTTTGACGATAATAATTATAACGTTTATTTAGATACGTCCTCATGAAAATCACTTTCTCAAAAGTGAGAACGTCTGCCTTTTAGAAACGTCAAACAATAATAATGTGTCAGCTTTTTCGAATTTCATGAAAAAAATACAACACATTCTGTTTGACAAATAGCATTTATCTTGGAAATATCATTGGCAAATATCATAGACAAATATCATTGGCAAAGCGATATACATCAAACGTTGATTAGTCAGTGAAATATAAGTGAGAGTATATATGATCTGGATGTAAATGATGATATAAAATCGTGTTTAAAGTACAGTCGACATTGCATTAAGAGACCACTCAAGGGACTGCCAAAAAGTGGTCTCTTAATAAAGTGGTCTCTCAATAGAATTCTGTAAAATTCGAGACTTTTTTATATTTCAAGTCATAGATATAATAACATCTTTTTAAAAAACAAAAAAAAAAACTGTACAATATTATGTATGTATTACAATGTACAGTTTCATAATTACATTTATGCCTTTTTTTAAAACAAAGTCATCAATATGTGTTTGTTTTTGTTTTTAGTAGAAATTTGTGTACAAATGTGATCTACGCTCATAATACTATCAACAGGTCATTTTGACAATGAAACAAAGCATATTGTCTTACATTGTATATTGTTAATATGTTCATACACATCTCCTGCTGAACATACTTTCAAATCATCAGCCAGAGCACAAGATAATTTTTTTCATGCAATGAGTGTTAAACTTCTTGATTTTTTTCCAGCAATTAGTTCTCACACTACCCCGATTTCAAATTCAATAAGGTTTTCAGAGATCTAGGATTTTTTTTTGTCGAAGTGTCATATTTAATGGGGTACTACATGTATTTTATTAAGCATCAGATGAGCACCTACACCATCAGCAATGAAAGGTTCGGTTCTGTAATGTTTAGTCCACTACGCTTCACGATTTTATTTCGACTACAAACGATGATATTTGCTATTTACTCTGACTCAATTCCATGCAAGATTAACTCATTCAATTTATCCGGTGTTAGTTGTCTGTCATTTTTTCGCTCGTTCCGACGTCATTTTCGATCAGATTTTCTGGAAGGGAGGTCACTCTGAGCATATAACAAAACTGTGCAAATGCGGTGATGTGATACGTTATTGCTCTGACAAAATATGTCACAATAAATATTAGATCGGAAAACTGTTTCTTTCTTTCCGATTTTGAAACCATTGCAATTGTTATTCAATTCGTTTTTGAACGACAATTGTTTGTGACAATCGTTTAATAGATACTTTTAGGCCAATGACCATGAAAAATATTTGTTTGTTTGCTTGTACACATCAAGCCTACTCGCTGATTACATAGGTGAAAATGACTGTTGGCACGATTGTTTGTCACGGCCGTTTAATAGATACTTTAACACTAAATTTTGTACATTTGAGCCGACATTTAGTGGCCGCTGGCCGCGATATAAAATCGTCGTTTAATGGAATTACCTTGTATAGTAAAAATCATCGGGAGGGAATATATGCGGCCGCTTAATAAAAAAAGTCGCTTAATAAAGGTGGACGCAAGTACGATGTCGACTGTATTTGCAAAAATTATACATGATAAATTTATAAATAATGTATTTTCTTTCTTTTTGTAAGCATTTTGGTTATAATATTGTAATAGCTGTTTGGCTACGTGATAGTCCTTCATTAATATTTTCCCCCGACAGCTTTCTTTCAATATACAGAAAAATTTACAACAATATGCATTGATATTGGCTTTTAAATGAGGATTGTTATTTTAAACTTGTTTCCTTTGATCTTGATGGCTGACGGTCTATCTTGTCTAGAATCTATGATGCTTTGAGAAGATAAAAGATATCATTTGACTACAGTTTACAGACAATATCTCAAACACTAACTATCCTTACTTTGATAAAGATTCAGACTTTCTAAAATACAATGCATATTCATTAAGCTTCGGTGAAATTCAGAAGCATTTGATTTGCAATTTTCTGTGACTGAAAACTTATAAAGACATCTACAACCACACTTACTAAATAGAATTGTTTTCCTGACAATTTAGATGTGTATACTTATACAACACATAGCACTATTTTTATATGTTATATATCTTAATTACTAAAATACTTCGTTTTCTTTCAAATGTTATTTTATCATATTTATGTTATGGTGAGATTAAAAGTTCGTGTACGAACGATTCAAAGAATCGCATTCCGAAAATTTAATTGTAGGATCACACTTTCAAACATATTCTAAAGACATGCACGACTTTTTTAAATGTTTTGTTTTTCAAATGACAAGAATCAGACAAGGATTGCTACATCATCTTGTCAAATTAAGTTATCAAATTGTAAATAATACACATTAAGTTCCACAATGACCATACTATTTCGCTATAAATGGGCACAGTGTTTACGAGTACAATAAAAGATGAACTATTTTGGGTACATAAAACCTAATCGAGCCTTAGTTCTCGTACAATGTGCGTTTGTGGAACAACAAACAAACAAATTTTCTCTATTTTTATATATGCTTAAAAACAAGTAAAAACGGATTTCCATAATATTAACTTTAATATTAAAATCTGTTTTCCCCACTGGTAGCCTCTATTAGTCGAATTTCTCATGAAATACAAGAAGTCTTGGGCCGAAAAATAAGTTTCACAATCAACGTTAAAT